GAGAAAAAGCCTCTCAGACTCTGAGCTCAAAGCAAGATGCCAGAGAGCACCAAACTATTTTTTTAAATTAGACAATTAATTTAATTTAACATAATTATCGCGGTAGAAGCCATTAGTTTGCTAAATACTTAATGAAACATATTTACCATGTTTGATGTTTGTTGTGAATGACGTATACTCACAAAGAACAAGATAATTAGTCCAAGTTTGTCGTTTATTGAACGTTCAGAAACTACAACGGCTGTAAAGCGCCATAGCAAAGGTACACAAAGGTAAAATAACCCAGATTATCAACTCAAAACCACTCGTACCTTTTTACTCTCTCTCTCTGTCATTTAAGCACACCAGTTGCTGCGACAACCTCCTGCGCTCCTTGAGCTGAGCAGAGATTACTTTAAAATCATAACATTCAGTTCGTTACAATATTAGGTTTTCAGGCTTGATATTTATTTTGCGATTATTAAGCGCTCCCCTGAACACAGCGGTAGTTGATTAGTTAATTTTAAACTTCTGCTCTGCTAGTTATTTTGGGAATGGAACCGAAACGCACAGAATTGCGCAACACCTTGTAGAAACAATAATTACAGAGATTATTATTATTGTTGGGTCATTAATTTGAACACTTTTTTTGATTTGTTGTTGTTCTTTAATAAAGTTACGAACGTTTTGATAAGGAGTCAGAAGACGACGTGCTGGTCTCAGCGTCATGGCAATGTTCAGTTTGTCACCTAATGCCGAGATCGACTCAAAACCTTCCACGATCTACATATTGAACCCCTGCTCTAGTAAAGCACGAACAGTTCAGAAGCAATATGAAAAGGGAAAAAAGCTATTTATTAACTGATTAAGTCATGTTTTAGATTGTTCTTGAAAAACTAATCAAGTCACAGCTGATTAGTGGGTGCACTCACAGCTGCAGTGAAACCGTTGATTTTTTTTTACAGCAAACAGCCACTCCCCTCTCTTGCAGACAGACAGACGGACGGACGGACGGACGGACGGGACAGACAGACAGACAGACAGACAGACATACAGACAGTCAGACAGACAGACAGACAGAAATAAGAGGTTTCATTTGAGCACCTTGTCCAGCACCTTGTCCAGCGATCAGAACCCGGACTTCTTCCAGCAGAGAGCGGAGCATCTCCTCCCTGCAGCAGCTCTCCCTCAGGATGCAGCCGGCTGCACCATCAGCGTCTCCCACAGGAACACACTTGTCCTTCCCATCACACACTGCAGATGCAGAGCGGGAATGGTTCTGATCCCTCAGCACTGCGCCTGACCGCTGTAAAGGAGGTAAGGAGGCAGACTGGTGCGCAGACGTTTGACAACCCGCAGACAGAGACTGAACAGGCAGGGTTGGTTTCTGAGGAGGATGAAGCTTCACTCCGGAGTGTGGAGCCGGAGGGGTGAAGCTATGGGCGGCTGCTGGTTGGCGCCGTTCTGAACTCTGAGCATCTGAGGACGGAGAGGCAGAACAAACATGGCGGTATTAGGAAACAGAGGTATGAAGGTGTAGCTTAATAAATAATAATAATTTTTTTATTAATTTTATTTTAGGAATTTATATGAAAACGAATCACAGTGTAAATCAGATATTTATCTCAACTTTATAAAAAATACCTTTTGTTTTATGTATTTTGCCAAAAAACATAAAACATTAATATTTACATTAACTTTATTTGATCGAGGGAAAAAATGGACGATTCAGAAACCTGGTTCTGCCATAAAGATGTAATTACTTCCTTAAATCAGAGTGTTTATTAAAAGCTGCTTCTCCGGGGTTCTGATTCAGTGGGTCTAAATACAGATGCATGCCACACTTTTCAGATTTTTCCTACGCAACAAAATCTTGGAATTTCTGTTTCTACTCTGTTGGTTTATCACCTAAAATCTCAACATAAAACAACCAAGCATGTGTTATGTTGGAGGGCACTGTTACATCCAAACTTGGTTAAAATCAGAAACTGGATTCCAAACACACCAAGTACCTGCCTTCGCTGGGAATTTCTTTCCAGGCTTTTTTCTTTGGAAACTGGAGGATCTTGGTTTGCTCATTACTTTCTTTGGGGTTCTCTGAAGACCTGCTGATGCTTGAACACACAATACATCAATTTTAGATTTTTTTTTAGATTATTCTGCAGGAGGATCCTTCAATTGAAAGCTGTGAAAGGATTTCACTGAAACACGTTAGAAAACTGACTGCTATAAAAAAGGGGCTGATGTTAAAATCTTTGTCTTCTTCTGTTAACCTTTAAAGAAAGCATCATCATTCTCCATAAACATGGCTTCAGATGCAGGAGAATGGTGAAAAAAGCAGCTCTCTTAGTCTAAATTAACACAATTCTGCAAAGAAAAGTGAGCCAAAAAAAATGATGGCTTCTTCCTGTCTGAGCGGCCTTGCAGTCCATGTTGGTACATGTCAGGAAACACCACAAATCTGAGGCCACGCAGTTCTTCAACTCAAACAGACACAAGCCTAAGATAAATGTCACAGTTTTGAGTCCAGGTATGAAGGAAAGCAATCTGACCTGCTTCGTCTGCCATAAGAATGCCACTGAGCAAGGCAGCACATTTGTCCAGGCCCCTATGCAGTGTGGTGACCTGAGGGCAGAACGAACACTTAATAACCAATCAAGAGAATATTCCAAATAATGATTTTCATCCTGGTCAGGGCTTCATGGTGCGCAGAGAATGGGTTTTATAGAGTCTAACAGAATGAAATCTGGGCAGTGCTGAGTATTTACTGGTCTCGCTGTTATGGGCCTGGGGACTAAAATTCCTGGATGATTCTTACCTGGTCCTCTGAGTCTGTGGAGTAGAGAGAGTAGTTGGGCTGAGGTTGGGGTGGAGGTCCTCTATCAGGAGGCGCTCTGATCACACAAAACAAAAACGGCATAAAAAATATTCATTTAAAATCTATCCTGAACGTTCAAACTCACCGGCTCACTTTAACTTTTCCTGTTAGTCTTCCCGATGTCACCACCTGGCGGTTATAATGAGAAAAACACAGCCAGGTCAGATGTAAGCCCGTCTTTAACCCATGTTTCAGACTAATAGCTAATATAGTAATTAAACCCCTTCAGCAATTCGGAAGTCATACTTTGTCTCGCGTTTTTCCACTCATGGTTTCCCCACAGTCAGTCTAAAGGTAGCAGCTGGACCCAGACGTGGACATGTCTCTAAGCTAACCAGAGGGAAAAGACAACTTTCAAACAAATCACTTCCCGCCGGAAGCGCGATATCTAACTGACCAATGGCGTTATGCTGCGTTGAATTTCTATTCGGAAATCTAGTATTCCAAGTCAGAAAAATGAATTGAAGATGAAAATCAGACTCGGAACGCCGGAGGTTCTTCAACTCTAAATTTAAAAACCAATACGACGTTCAAGTCGAAAAACGTCTGTATATAATACATAGAATGCCGCACTTAAAACAAATGCTTCTTAGGTGCAGCGAACGCATCACTGTAAATGACTCCGCCTACACCCAGCGGCCTCCCGTAAACATGCAGTGCTTGTTATAATAAAGAGCGTGAAGGGATTTTTGTATTATTTATCTCAGGTCGACAGGGTGGGTCTGTTTAGGAGATACAATGCAAATACGATGACGCTGAAATAATCTGGAGACCAAGCAACTGTTAATAGGACGGCATATAAGGACCATTATAGACAGAAAAACAGAGCAAATTTCGAGATTAATCTCAATGTTTTCAAGCAAATTTCTGGGGTACTGTGGTGGTGCAGGGGCAAAGCACGAATTGAGGCTTTGATTTTCGTAGCGGTGATCGCAGGTTCGATTCCCGGTCTGGTGACATTTGCCGCATGTCTTCCCCCTCTCTCATTGCCCTCTTTCCTGTCGAACTACTTTCAAATGAGGTAACTAGAGCCAACAAAACCTTGGAAATTTCTCAACTTGAAAAGTCGAACATTTTTTTACTTTAGAAATTCAGAAATGTTCCCGGTCTCTCCCCTCCCCCCTCTAAAAAATATATTCTCAAAATTATAGCTTTTTGGTGGAAATTTGCCAAATTCATTTCTGTCTACAATGGCCCTAATACTCTAGTAGTAGTTTCAAGACTTCAATTGCAAATAAAAGAAAAACTAATTTCTTACTGTTTATTCAATGTCACATGCTGTTTTTTTTTTCTTTAATTATGTAAAGCACCTTGAAATGCCCTCCTGCTGAAATGTGCTATACAAATAAAATTTGATTAATTCAGGTCTTAAGATATGGAAATACCTCAGTGGAACATCCAGTTTTGGGGACCACTGTGGAGTCTTCAAAATATGAAGATTAGAGAACCCTCAGCATGGAACAGTCAACATTCCAAAGTTATGCAACCCTGGAAAGTTCTACACATTAGGAACCCAGAAAAGGAATAAATGGGCTAACAAGTCATTATTTTATTTTTTTTACAATTTAGTATTTTTGCAATAAAATGCTTATTTCAAACAATGTTTTTTCCTTTAAAGTAATTTTACTGGAGTTCATTTAAACATGCATTCTTCAGGGAGTTTACATTCTGTGCTGCTGACAATGAGGATGAGCTCCACTCTTACTGCCCGTTTGTCCCTGCATCACATCAGTTTTTATCTCCACACTGACTACATTACTGAACTGTTGCTTTGAACATAGATTGATGGGAAAACTGACCGTCAGAGAAGTTGTACTGCAACTGGAAAGCTGAGCTTTTACCTAGAACTTACCTCATGTGTTTTAACTTTCAGTAGTATAAGGAAAAATTCAGGCTGCTCACCATTTATTGTTAATTTCAGAAGTGTCAATGCTCAGAAGAAATAAAAACACTAAATTTGATCAGCAGACTGACAGTTTTAATTTATCGAAAATTGAAATCAAAACTTCACAATGTCACCAAGTAAAAAACAAAAATGCATGCAAGCCCGGGGTTCTACATTCAACATTCACAAGCTCAGGTTCCCCAGGATTCATTTAACACTTAAACAACAAATTGAACTAAACAACTAAATCAATAGTTTGGAGAAGCGTCACTCCCATTCCTCGTCATCAGCTGCAGCCTGGGCAGCCGGCTGGCTCGGCCCACTGTTCTCCTGGAAGGAGCCCATCTGCAGACACACAACACAGCAAAGATTTTAGAAGAGCAGAAAATCAGACATGGTTCAGAGTCAGAGTGGAAGTAGATTACCTTTCTGGAATCCGTGGAGCCAAATGTTTTCCTAGGGTTGAAGCCGGCGCCGTGGCTGCTGAAGGCAGACTCCTCTAACCAAGGCGGCACTTCCTGCTGCGCCTGTCAGGAGAGAAAAACAAAGGCTGTTATCAGGCTGTTATCACAAGCTGAGAGTCAATCAGAGCTCAGAGTCTCACCTTGGACAGAACTGTGACCAGGGAGCGGGCCAAACCCCCATCAGCCTCTGGGTCAAAGAACGACACGGCTCTCCCAACGTTCCCACAGCGCCCAGTTCTCCCAATACGATGGACATATTCGTCGATGTCCTTTGGGAGGTCAAAGTTCACCACATGCTGAACATCTGGAATGTCCAGACCACGGGCAGCTACAGAAGTGGCCACCAGAACAGGACATTTCCCAGAGCGGAAATCTGTCAGAGCCAACTCCCGTTCCCTCTGCTCTCGGTCACTGCCAGACACACACCGTTACTGTGGGCAACAACAACAACAGGAGCAGATGGAGGAGTGAGTTACCCATGGATGCTGGTGGTTGGAACTTTCTCCTGGCACAGGAACACAGCAATAAAGTCTGCTTGTCTCTTGGTCTCCACAAACACCATGGTACGCTCCGTTCCTGCACACAGAGGTCAAAAGTCATCAACCCTCAGCCTCTCACTGGTGTAGATGTTATTATCTGCTCCACCAGCTGAAACAGTAAGTGATCATGTTTAATCTTTCATCATGTGCTCCACTTGTTTTGTTCCATGGTCACAAAAATTATGTAGCAACTTAAATCATTCTCTTTCTTAAATATCTCCAGACAAAAATATTCATGGATTACTAGTATTTTTTTTTTAAACAAATACCAAAACAAACTTCAGTCTTCACTATAAACAATAATATTTCAGGATTTGTATCACCTTTAACTGCCAGGTTTAGCAGCTAAATTTAGTTCCTTTATTGTAAAACCACCACATGAGTTTTTAATTTCCGGGTCAAAGGGGATCAATTTTTACATTTTATTCAAAGTCAATAAACAGTTGGTTTAAACACTTGATTCAAGTTTTGGGCCAGGTGCACAACTAAAGATGCTGCAAAAAAGCATTTTAAAGATTTGGAGAGAGAGAAAATAAAGATTTCATGTAATATTTTTCCCCAATTTATGGAAATGGACAACCTGGCCAAGTTTTGCCTAATTTGCATAAACAGTTAAAGTCCTGCACAGATATAACGCAAACAGAGTTAACAGCCACCAGTATACCTGTGGTTTTGAGAATATCAAGCAGCTGCTCCCTCTTGGAGAACTTGGTGACTTGTACAAACTTCTGTTCCACATCGCTGCAGGCTCCGCCCACAATGCCCACAGCCAGGAACAGATAATCCGGCTTTAGGAAGTCGGCAGCCATCCTGTTTAAGGAGCAGAACCATGAATGAGGCGGGGTCATGAAGGTGAAGCTGAAAGTCTGTGTGTTCAACAGACCTCTGGATGTCTTCAGGGTAGGTGGCGCTAAACATCAGAGTCTGTCGATTCTCCTTGGACGGCATCCCAGGGGAGCCAACCAGGCGCCGCATATCTGGCTCAAAGCCCATATCCAACATCCGGTCGGCCTCATCCAGCACCAGGTACCGCACCTTACTCAGTCCCACCTGGAACACACCCACACAGAAGTTCCTCTCTGCCTTACCCAGAGGAGTAGAAATGTTCCTGTCCTCACCTTCCCTCTCCCAATCATGTCCAGCAGACGTCCAGGAGTTCCACACACCACGTTACAGCCTTTCAGGATTTCCCTGATCTGGTATCCAGTGCTGACTCCTCCATAGACCACAACGGGACGGACACACGTCCTGAAACACCAGGAGGAAGACTTCAGCTCCTGCCTGGTCCTCCAGCCAGGCTGGAGGACCGCCTGGCTGGCTGGTTTCTAACCGTCACACCTACCCATGAGCAAACTTCCTGGCCTCCAGGTAGATCTGGTTGATGAGTTCTCTGGTTGGAGCGACTATGACGGCTTCGGGTTCCTGTGTCTCACTGAAGCGACTGGCCGCCACGCCGTCCGTCATGAGCTGCTGCAGGATGGGCAGCAGGAAAGCAGCCTGGAGGACAGGAAGGAACACTTAGTTTAAGATTTTACACACTGGTTGGATCGTATCCAAAAGTAAAACATTTCTATCCTCCAACAGAATTCCTATCTTGAAGATCTCACCGTCTTCCCAGAGCCGGTCTGGGCACAGGCCATGAGGTCTCTGCCTGCAGAGATGATGGGGATGCCATGCTTCTGCACCGGGGTCGGCTTCACATAGCCAGACTTACTGATGTTTTTCCTCAGGGACTCACACAGGGCCGCCTCGTCAAAGGTCTGAGGGACAGACAGTCAGTGTGGCTGAAGTCCTCCGTCAGACACACAGCTGAGGGACTCACCATGATGGCCCTGGGGGGGTTGGTGCCGCTGATGTCCACCAATATGTCGTCATACTTGTCAAAGTTGATTCCACTCTTATAGTGGGAGAAGATGGAGTCTTCGTCTTCGGGGAGCGTTGGAGGAACATATGTGACTCTCGGTTCTGTGGGTCAGAACAGCAACACTGGGTTCTAGGCAGCAGAACATGCCGTGTTTATCCAAGAGCCCAGACGATCACTTACTGTCACTATCAGGGTCATCCTTGACTGGACCTTGGTCTTCTCCTGCAGCACACAGAACAGCCATTACAGATTCACACTCACACACATCAGTTCATTCTCTCGTCCTAAAGCCTCAAACCTGGACTGAAGGCCTCTTCATCTTTTCCACGGTAACCTGCAACGACAGACAGTGAACTCTTGCCGACAGAAAACTACTCTCAAGATGAAGGTCTGGGTGACCAACCTCCACGGAAGCCTCCTCTTCCTCCCTGCTCAGCATCTTCAACACACAAGCAGTAATTAGTCAACAGCAACACCTGTGTCTGCAGAAAGCTGTGCATCCTCTGGTACCTTGTCTCAATCCTCCTCTTCCTCCCCGACCTCCTCTTCCTCGTCCTCTGAACCCTGCCAATCAGAACAATCAGCCAATCAGGAACTCTTAGAGCAGCAGAAGGTAAACCTTAAAGTT